ATGTGCTTACAGGCAAGATGCCCTCTGATCACTGAGAATAGTGTTATTTGGGCTTTCTAAGAAATGTAATTTGACATTTCAACACAACCTTTCTTCCTATGGCAGGCAGAGGATGAGGGGATTCACTCTTTCAGTTGCCTCTAGAAAAATTTATACCCTAAAACAATGTGTACTCCTAAGCGTATGTGCTTGAGTGACTTCTTAATTAGTCCCTCTGAAACAACCTCACCATCAGCAGAATTTTTCCACAGGCACATCCAACTATAATCCCTCTGACAATTCTCACATTAGTTCTGGGATTAAGGAATTGATAAATGTGGTGGGGCGCCGTGACTCAGCCTGGAAGGGCCAAGAAAATACTTTTCCCCAAGTCCTTTCCACATCAAGATAGAAGAGAAGCCACAGAAATCACTGGCCTTCAGAGGGGTGTTTAAGAGAATTTTCTGAAGCAGAATGATTCTCAACGTTCATGTGAACATTATTTAAGACGTTGAAGCTCTGGAAAGAAGACTGGAGACTTTAGGTAAGAGATAAAACTGGACATGAGTGTGTGTGCCTGGAGTGTTTGCATGTCTACGCACAGAGTGAGAAAATAAGAATGAGAAAAACCAAGACCTATATGTAATCATTAAGATTCACAAGCACACATTGACTGCAAGTAACGCAATATGAATACAAAATACTGCATTCCAGGAAGAACCTTCAGTAACAGACAGCACGGGTCAGAAATGTTAACAAAAAGGACATTGTGCAATGAGAGACATAGAGATGGGGTCAGTTTAGAATTGGGGGAAAGGCAGCTTTTGTTTTCTGGGACCTCTTGAATTATACAGAGAAGAGATTTTCTCTGGCTTCTTTCCTCCAGATGGATCTCCATAAACCGAAATTGACGGAGGTTGTTCTTACCTGACATTTAAACCTAGAGAGAAAAATGAAATAGTTCAAACTCTCAGAAAAGTTGAAAAAGAGTCTGATAAACACCTACATACCCTTCTTCAGATTTACCAAAAAACATAAAGTGTATAGCCGGAGGCCTTCACCCTCTGAAGGTTCACTGAAAATCAACTGACCAAAAGACAGATTAATAGGAGAAAAGGCATAAAAACTTACTTGATCATAGTTTTATGTGACATAGGAGCCTTCAGAATGAAGACCCAAAGAAATAGGGGAGACTATCCATTTTATGCTTAGGGGCAACAAAGTATGGACAGCCATGCAGAAATATGATTGGACAAAAAGTGTACGATCTAATGCTAATGGACTGAGGGGACAAACCCAGCAAGGCCAGTCTGTCCAGATTCTTCTTGGCCTCTCTGTGAAACATTCCTTTCTCCTGGGTGTGGGACAGGACACTCTCTGGAATGGGGGGGTCTTATGAACTACAATCAAACAAGGTAGGTCAGATAATTTCTTTATGGGCAGGTCTTACACAGAAAGGTAGGGGAAGGCTAGAGTAATATTTTTAGATTTTGCAGCTGACTGTGGGGAAATGGGGTTCTGGTTTCTATGACCCATCTTGAAGAAGAGGGATTCTAATTTCTATGGCTAGCCTCAGGGAGACTGAGGGGCCAGAGACAGGAGTGGAGGAAAAGGTCAGAAAGAAACTTCTGCTTCTGAGGTGTTCACTTGGACGTATCCTTTTCTGAGCCCCTAAGATGGCAATGAGGTTCTTTCCTATGTCTTTCCATGCCTTCATGTTTTCATCCTTTCTTTCCAGCCAAACTTTCCATTTATAAGCAATTTTCATATATCTAAATGGTCCTTTAAAGCCAGAGTGGCCTTTCTCCCTGTCTCCATGTGCCCCAAACATAAATGCCACCTCCTCCATTCAGCTTCTCTGAGCCTTTTCATGAGAAATCAGCCTTTTCTCACACTTCCATCTAGCCCCAGGTGGTCACCTCCACTCCCATATAACTACTGTATTTCAGTCCTTTTCCACTGTGTTTGGATTCTATTCCTCCTTCTCGCATAACCTAGAACTCTTCCTATGCTCCATCAATATTTGCTAAACAATCAGATGGATTAAAAATAGCAAAAGGATGGAGCAGAAGCTGGAGGACGCTGTGTTTTAGTAACCAAAGGCAGTCTGTGAATGTGGGGCCTATTCTCTTCTGACAAACAGCCCTGGCCTGGGGTCTGAGGCACTATCTCCTACCCTTCTGTGACCCTAGTGAGCTGTTTACATGGGGTCCCCATGGAAGACTCTTATAACTGATGTGGTTTTCCTCAACACCTCTAGTAACTGCTCTGAGTTGGTGTTTTCTGGTGATCACTTCCTCCTTCTGTAAGCTTCAGGATCAAGAGCTCAGCCACCATTTAGATCAGTGCACGCCTTTTACTGGCCAGCCTCCGCTGTTAGGGTTACCCAGCATAGTTCTAATCATAACAGGTAACCAGCCTGTGTGCTGAGAACTTTACATATGTTAATTCACCCAGTCCTCATAACTTCCCTGTGAGGTGGGTGTTATTATAATATTATTCCCATTCCACAGATTAAGAAGTGGAGACTTCATGAGGTCACGTGCTTGCCCAAATCACACAGTGGCAAAGACAGGACTCGAGCCCAGATGGCTCTTGACCCACTGCACTGAACTTCTCTGGTCTGCAAAGTAGACGTCAGACGAGAAGCCAAACCAAGCCAGTGCTCTTCTCGCCGTTGTACACTGCCACCACTCTCGGAGCCACTGGGAGAAAAATGCCTCCTATTTCCTTGAAAACAGTATGTTCTGATGAAGTTGTTTGAGGATACACATGTGTGAAACATACAGCTCCTCTAAAAGATTGTCAGTATATTGAAGAAGCTGTGTGTCTGTGAGAGTTATTACTCTGGAGTTTTTCCTTAAGGTAGCACATATATAGATGCACTTGTTATAGATTAGGCGATTGCTCTATATAAATCTATGCTTTATATAGATTAATTCATTTAATCCTCACAAAAGT